ATCTGTCCTGGTGTGCAAAAACAACATACAACATACAACATACAACATACTGACTAAACATGCTGTAGCTGGTACAGTGATATCTTTTTATACCATGTTTACCGTGTTTCCGGGGTCTAAGCCGCACCCTCCCCCCCCCCCCCCCCGTCATGGTCCAATATTCGTACTTTTGTTGACATTCGGTGTATATGCTGAAAGTCACACTTAGAATTCGTTGGCAACCTATCTGTATAATTGTAGTGGTATAGGCACACTATCGGACCAGAAAAGACATTACTGATGGTTAAAACGTAGAGGAGCACGACTGATGTTCTACAAAGGTTGCCTAGTTTGCCCTTCACTCAGAGCTGACACCATGTACTTGTATAAGCTTTGCACTAGCATAATGATGAATTGCAGTACACGAAAAGTAGCTGAATGACACCATACATGCATTATCTGCATGGAGTGCTGCAGCGCTAGTCGATTCATATCCAGCATCCGGAGTCGAACCCCAGGGGCGATTTGAGCTTTTTTACGCGTCTTAATTAAAGTGCGGCTAGCACACCCGGAAAATATGGTACTGCTCAATGTGCATGGTGAGTTTAGCAGCCGGAGCTGGAGTGTGCAATTGTTAGTCAATTGCTACCTCAGCTAGTCATGAAGACAGACAACCAACAGTCATCAGAAGAGACTACTCAGCTCTATTTTCTCTAAAGAAAATAGAAAGGACTAAGGCACTACAAGTTACGCTATAATGTCCACTAACACAACCAAAATACTAAACAATCCGTTCATGCGATAACATTGCACGACACTGACCGACGGTACTGACGTTCAACTAACTGGCTAAAAGCTTTAGCGAATCTTGGATGCGCACTCCAGCAGCCTTCCAACTTGGAAGGTTAAGTTATATAAAACACATAAGAAGGGGAAGGTGAGCGCAACCAAGATAATCACAAGCTGAAAGTCTCAGCTGTGAAGGACGTTGGCGGATGTTTATGCATGTCGATAACGATACTGGCAAGACCATTGCACAATACGGTCAAACCACGATTCAAGGATGCAAAGCACCATTGCACACAACTTGTTATCGCATAAGCTGATTGTTTAGTAACTGGTGGTGGTAGTGGACATTATAGCGTAACTTGTAGTTCCTTGGTCCTTTTTATTTTCTATAAATTAATCCTAGGCTCTCCATCCGAGTCCGTTCTTGCAGACTTGATGAGCCGTCTTTATTTTCTCTGCTTTTCTTTTTTTGGCTAAGTGTGGCAACAAGACAGTTAGTGATATTGCGCCTATTGGTGCACTCCGATACATCTATGTAAAATACCAACCTACAGTAAAGAAATGGACCAACGAACTACAAGTTCCACTATAATGTCCACTAATTAATTAGTCCGAGTCTATCCTTGCACAGAATATCAACCGTTTTTATTATTGAAAATTGGCACAAACGCCAAGGACGTCAATGGATAGCCTTGGTCAATGGAACCTGAACCCGCACCCACGGCCGCTCCTTTACACACATAACATTCGCTGGTCGTACTGCAGTGCTCATTCTGCAATCAACGCGTGTTAACGTTATATTAAAGGGAGCGTTTGATTTTAAGTAGATTATCTAGAGTTGCAGCGAAGGTTGGTGTGGATGTGCATTACTGGTGATTTGCCACTTTGCTGAGTATTGCTTTCACCTATTTTGCTCCGCAGACTCGAACAACAGACCTAACTCTTGATGACCTCGTCAAATTCTCCACTGAGCACCACCATTTGCAACACTTGAATTTAGTTCGTATAGCCACTCCTCTAAATCCACAAGTGGACATTGCCCAAATCTTCCACATGGGCCAGATGCCCTGGCTCTCATTCAAGTGCCATGACGATGATTTGAGTGCAGACAGGTTTGCGGGTATTATTCATATTGCTTCACCAACGGTAAGCAAGAGTGTGTGCGTGGCGTGCGTATGTGTGCATGCATGTGTGTGTGTGTGTATGTGTGTGTGTGTGTGTGTGTGTGAGTGAGTGAGTGAGCGTGTGCATGCGCGGGTGGGTGAATGGGTGTGCGTGTGTGTTTGTTTGTATATGTGTGGTTTGTCTGTCTACCTGTCTGCCTGTCTGTGTGTCTGTATGTGTGTCCGTCAGTCTGTGACCTCTCTCTGTCTGTCTGTCTCTGCCTCTGCCTGTGTCTCTCCCTGTGTCTCTCCGTGTCTCTCTCTCTCTCTGTCTCTCTGTCTCTCCCTCTCTCTCTCGCTCCCTCTCCCTCTCCCTCTCTCTCTCTCTCTCTCTCTCTCTCTCTCTCTCTCTCTCTCTCTCTCTCTCTCTATCTCTCTCTCTCTCTCTCTCTCTCTCTCCAGGTCGTTTCTTTTTTCGGTTGAGGTAGGTGTGCGTGGTTTCATCCCGGACTCTCTTCGGAGGGCTCCGAAAGCGCTTGGGTTTTCTAATCGAAGAATAAAATTTATTTGTAATTTGTGCAGTAAGACGTCTCTGCGAAGCAGCTACATCATCTGGTTGCGACGTCAACAAAAACACTGGTCGGAAGATCCACTTTTCTGAGGTACTGTATGTGGGGCTCCGTTTATTGAGGTGCGTTGAAATTTATTCTCTTTATCTTATTTAATATTTCTTTTCTTTAATTTCCCCATATGAGTTCCTATCAGTTGCTGTGAACACCTTGAGTGGAGAGCACTTGCGTGAGCGTTGAACCGGGTTCTTAATCAACCATACCCAGTTCGCAAGGCTGGGCGGGGTTGTGAGCAGGCTTTCATTTCATCTTTTCTTATTATTTCTTATTATTTCTGCTTTTCATCTCATTACAAAAATTCTGCGCATTTTTTCTCCATCTGCGCATAAAATCTAGACTGACAACCTGCTTGTTAAATCATGCACCTGCTTTCAGGCGTAAAAACCCTGTTGTAGAGGTCTCAGTCCTCATTTGTTAGACTTACCTGTCTTTATAAATGTAACTTACTCCGGTTCCAAAAATTACGCCTCGGCGTTTTCACGGGCTTTTGAGATTAGCTCTCTCCTGAGTCTTTAAATTGCTTCAAGTTCAAATAGGAAAAATGCCACCCATGGGCTCCGAACGGGGGAGGAGGATGAAGCCCTAGACACTACGCACGCACCACACGAACACTCTGTGTCCCTAGACGATTCTGCTGTGCCATATGACGATCCGTTGGGTTTGACCTCAAGCCAGCGGAAGCACTCCAGTACATTGCATGACACAGGTGAACATCATACATGTCCGAAATGTCACACCACCATCAAACAATAACATAACCTTGCACGACATATGCGGACTAACAAATGCAAAAAATTGGCTGCATCGCAGGCTGGAGCTGTGTCAGCAGTCTCTGCATCACCACCACACAAGACTCCAATGACTTCAGAGGCAAGTACACCAACCATTACACCATCAGACCGGGAAACAACATGTCCACACTGTTTGAGAAAACTCAAATGGAAACAAAACTTGCCACGACATCTACAGACCTGCCCGGTCTACAAAACACTTTCAACCACCTCAGCCAAAGCAGACGGCAGTAGTGGGGATGGTCGGACGACTTCCATGATTGATTCAATGCACTTCAGCCCATCTGTAGGTCAGACAATGACTCCTGGAGATGAATTGCGAACAATCCTGCACGAATCCACTCCCTGTCATAATGAGTCTTTACTTCATGTCCTGAATCAACGGGACATGGACAAGGTAGAAGTCCGGCAGTCCCTACTGCTACCGTCAGCCAAAAACACCAAGGCATGGCACACAATAAACGCTCAGTTGAAGATCCATCTCACTCAACACTTCCCAACCTCATACCTCAAAAACACTAACATCGAAGAGACTCTAGACAAACTAGAGAACTTCATTCACTGGTCTTTCGACCTGAAACCACCACCACCTCCACCAAAACACAAGAATGCAAATAAAAACCGTGCAGTGGAAAAACTCCGGGCTCACAGGCGTGATTTAAAGCGCCAATTTCGTAAGATCAAAAACCCGGACGAAGTACCTGCAGCGCTCAGAAATGAGTATTTTTCAATTGGAAAAGAAATCAAGCGTCTTTTGAAACAACAAAAGATGTACGACGATCGATCCCGGAACAAGAGGGACCAGGATGCCTTTCTCAAGGACCCATATGCCTTCGGAAAGAAATTGTTTCAACCAACCAACCATGTCAAACCCACTTTCTCTGACACTACCTGCTTTGAGTACTTCCAACACACATATGCAGACCAGGACCGTGCCACTTCGTACGAATCCTGCCCCAGTGCAGGGAAGCCCTGGGATTGCACCCACCCAGTCGATGAGGGGACCCCTACATGGACTGAATTTCAGAATGTTTTGAAGAAGTGTCGCAACACCTCTGCACCGGGTCCTGACAAGATACCATACATAGTTTGGAAGCTTTGTCCCTCCCTTCAATCCATTCTTTTCACCATCTTTGGGCGGGTTTGGGAGAGCAAGATCATTCCAAGGCAGTAGCAGGTAGCGTGTATCACACTCCTGGCCAAGGGGGAGGTGTCTGATGATCCTTCGAAATTCCGACCGATTGCTCTAGCAAACACGTCCGGGAAGATCTTTTTCACCTTAGTTGCAAAGCGCCTCTTGAAACATATGCTAGGCAATAAGTTCTTCGATGGTGACAACCAGAAAGGATTTATGCCTGCAAAGGCTGGGTGCTTAGAGCACACATCATCACTTTGTTATGAGGCAATGCGTGATGCAAAGACGGCAAAACGCCACATTTGCATTGCGTGGATAGATTTGAAGAATGCATTTGGTTCAGTGCGCCACAATCTGATACAGTATGCTCTAACCCACTACAGCCTTCCTTTGCAATTCAGGAAATTAATTTTTTCCTACTACGACAGTCTTTGCGCTTTCGTCGTACAACCACACACTCCCACCTTTAAATACAACATTGGTGTTTTCCAGGGGTGCCCCTTGTCCTCGGTCCTTTTCAATATTTGTTTCCAGCTTCTGCTGGACTCACTTGCAGCCCCTGAATTAAGTTGCCTCTCCTATGATTTTAAATCTGCCCCTTTGCAAGTGTCCCAAACAGCTTTTGCTGATGACTTAGGCCTCTATAGCAAATCTAGTGCAGGTTGTCAAAAACTCAGTGCGGTCACGGAGGACTTTCTCTTGTGGACCCAATGTATGCAGGCGGCGCCGCACAAATGCAAAAGCAGTGCAGCAAAGCTTGTAGATGGCCGGTACAAACCTTACGATCCCTGCCTGACGATGTCAGGGAGGAAGATTGCTTTCATTGACACTGCAGAGTTCAAGTTCCTGGGGCGAAGGCTGCATGCTGATTGCTCTGAGCAGACCCAGCGGGAAGACATCCGTCAACTCCCTGTGTCTTTCATGCAAAAAGTAGATGGCTCTTGGCTTCAAGACCACCACAAGCTATGGCTTTACCACCACCTTGTAGTGCCCAAGCTTTCTTGGTCCTTCCAGGTTCTTGAACTCACACAAGGTTTTGTACATGAACTGCACTTTATGTGTTTACCATTTCTGAAGAAATGGTCAGGCCTACCTCGATGCGCAAACTCTGCCATTCTTTTTATTGGCAGTCGCAAACGCTTTGGCTTACGCCTCCACTACCTTCCTACGGTGTGGAAAAAGTGCCAGTCCATCAAATGGCACATTCTTCGATCGAGTGGGGACGCGCGCATGAGGGCGCTGTACACTCTGCGTCGGAGTAAGGATGCGAAGCTGAGAAAGCGATATGCGGCGACAATAGAGCTGGAGTGTGCAGAGGCATCAGTAGGTTCAGGGACTCTCCGTCCACCGTCATCTTCAAGTCATCGTGCAGGGTTGGGTGCTCGTGCTCCGAAGCAGCATTCCAAACCCCCGAGGAAGGATCTCCTTCAAACATTTGAGGAGATCAACGCGCAGGAGCAGATTTTGAGGCTGAAGACTCTTCAGGTGCAAAGCAAGTGGTTGGAGTGGACATCGGTGATGTGGCAGGATCTTTCGTGGAAATCCCTTTTGTACGGTTGTACTGGTAAGGATTTGAAATTTCTTCTCGCATCAACCCTCGACGTGCTACCTTCTCCGACGAACCTACACCATTGGGGAAACACCGTAGTGGATCCGTACTGTAGGTTGTGCCGTGCCTGGGCCTGTACTACGCGCCACGTGCTTGTCGCTTGTCGCGTAGCGCTGGACCAGAGACGTTACACCTGGAGGCACGACAACGTACTCGGGGTCATCGTCAGGAACATGCGTGAGGAGATTCGAATCCGCACTGCTGCAAACACCGTACAAACCGAAAATTCAAATGAGCTTGACTTCATCTCGTTTTGCAAGGCAGGAGAGAAGCCAGTTCGCGTTCAGCCCAGACGAAAGTTGGTTACGACTGATCTCCTGCCAGCGGCCTCAGACTGGAAACTTCTTGTCGACTCAGTTAGTGCAAAGATTTCTTTCCCTAGCTGTGTTGCACTTACCACCCTAAGACCAGATATAGTTCTGTACTCTACGAGTCGTAGGATTGTATTCTGGATGGCGTTGACAGTTTGTGCTGAGGACAGATTCAGTGTCAGTAACTGGCGGAAGGACAGGCGGTATGCGGATCTGGCCGATCAATGCCGAGCAAACGAGTGGCAGGTCGTTTCTTTTTCGGTTGAGGTAGGTGTGCGTGGTTTCATCCCGGACTCTCTTCGGAGGGCTCTGAAAGCGCTTGGGTTTTCTAATCAAAAAATAAAATATATTTGTAATTTGTGCAGTAAGACGTCTCTGCGAAGCAGCTACATCATCTGGTTGCGACGTCAACAAAAACACTGGTCGGAAGATCCACTTTTCTGAGGTACTGTATGTGGGGCTCCGTTTATTGAGGTGCGTTGAAATTTATTCTCTTTATCTTATTTAATATTTCTTTTCTTTAATTTCCCCATATGAGTTCCTATCAGTTGCTGTGAACACCTTGAGT